CTGCTAGTTTAGGGACTGAGCTCCAACAGCCGTGACCATATTTAGTAATATGCTTTATAAGTTTCTCATCTTCTTCAGGAGACCAAAGGCCTTTCCTTAACTTCTGTTTGTAACAGCAAGAATGCCTCCCCATGTGATATTGCAATGCTGGCAAAAAGGCCCAAAGAAAAGAAGGCAAAATTTATAACTTTTTTAGCCGGAATGCTAAGTGAAGCTGGTGGATTATATTATGTTCTCTTCTCTATTTACTTATTAGGAAGCAAGGAAAGTTGAGAGAGAAAATGATGTAATGATAGTTAGGAAGGAGAGTGGAAGCTGTGGAAAATGAAAGGGAAGGCTTAGGAATCAAATAGTCTGGAGATGGGGGAACCTTTAAAAGAAGGTCGTATTCAGCAGATGATTCGATTTTTGAGGTTTATTTAATTTATTGAATTTCTTATTATGAATTTTGTTTTCTTTTCCTTATTTGTTTCTTAAATTCCATTTTATTTTACCCTTTTGCTACATTTGAATTTTGGAACCGGAGCTCCAATTTTCTGACGTGCATTTGTCTTATCAAAGGGTTTTGAGAAATTAATAAGTTTGACAGCACTTGTGGAGCACCAAGACAGATATTTATTTCATGGCCACAATTTTTTTCTGAAATAAGTACTGTTCGTGAAGTCTTTGCGAAAAATTAAATTAGAATTTGAGACAAGTTGTAATCTGGATTAGGGGTGTTCGTAAAAATCCGAAAATAAAACAAAATCGATCAAAAAAATTGATACTTTATGGTTTGGTTTTGGTTTTGGTTTTGAATTTTAAAAACCGATCAAATTTGGTTGGTTTTATTCAAAAAATAACCGAAAGAAACCGAACCAAACCGACTATTAGGGGTGTACAAATAAAACCGACAAACCGTACCAACCCGATAATCCAAGTCAAACCGAGAAAAAAAACTCAACTATGGTTTGGTTTGATTTGATTTGGTGTTGGAAAAAAAAATCAGACCATATTTGGTTTGGTTTGGTTTTAACTAAAAAAAGTTAAAACGAAACCAAACCAACCCGACATTATATGTATAGAAGTTTTAAATATATTTAATACATAAAAATATTTATGGTAGCGTAATTTATAAATATTTCTTAAACTTTTTCATAGTTTTATCTTTTAACGTATTATTTCAAGTTTGGGTTTATAATTTTTGGATGCTCCAATAAGTTTTATAGTCCATAAATGTTAGTAACTCAAATAAATCCTAAACCAAAATCAAATCAATACTAATGCTAATAAAAGACATTCAATTCAATTGTACTATGAATGAAAATCGTATTGGATATCTATTTTTTAGTTTTTTCATGGTTTAGATAAAATGGATAGCTTATTTTTCTTTTAGTGGTTAGTCATGTAAATAATAGTACTTATTAGTCATAGTTTTAAATTATGTTTGTTTTCATTATGGTTTATTAATGATATTTATTTTATGTGATTTTATTATCTTTATTGTTGAATATTTTAGTACAATGTCATGACTCGTCTCATATGTATGTTATTTTATTGAAAAATATCCTATATAGTTCTGTCTTACTAGGATTAAAGAAATATTTGGAGCACAAATTTTACGTTTTGTGCTATGAAGACTTTTTGAAAAATAAAACTGAAAAAACCCGAAAATCCGAGAAAAACTGAGATTAAAAAACCCAACCTTTATTAGTTTGGTTTGGTATTTGGATTTAATAACCCGATACAATTGGTTTGATTTGATAATTAAAAAATTCAAACCAACCCGACTCATGTACACCCCTACTGACTATAGAAGTAGCTAATTTAAATTTATTATTACACCAATATATATGTATATTTTTATACAAAGTTTCTAAAATTTTATGGTACATGTTAATCGGTTGCACTTTAGTATAATTCTTTGCCTTTACATTCTAATTTGATTAGTAATTTTCTTTTGCTAAGTATAAGAATCTATTTTATGTTAAAAATAATCTATTTTTAATTGAGTACTTAAATTATTCATTACTATTTGATTCAATTATCATCAATATATCTTGGTAAATGATAGATTTCTCAAAGGGCAATCGATTTGATAGTGTTATGTTGAAAATATAGTCGCCGAAATATGTGTTTGGTAGTGTATATATCATATTTAAGAAAAAATCAATAAATAACCGAAAAAATCGAAAACCGACAAAACCCGACATAAATCGAATCGATAAAAAACCCGACTTAATTAATTTAATTTGGTTCTAATATTTGAAAACCAACTTACTTGTTTTTTTTTTTTTTTTTTTTTAGGAAAAAATAGATCTAAACCGAACCATGAACGCCCCTAAGCTGGATGACTTTGTTTAAGAAGATGTATGTACCATTGAGTTTGATATTGTGTGTTCAAATAATAATAAATGATTGATTTTGAGTTAATTTTATTCCAAAGATTCCAAAACACAAATACGGGTTGGAAAAATATTTGAGTAAGTTTAAAAGGGTTTGAAGACTACAAATCTCAATGATTAGTTAATGCTTGCAATGGTAAACGAAATTAATTAGTGGTAAGGAAAAGCCTTCTGTCATTAGACATTTTCTTGTCTTTCATTATTGACATCAAACAAAATTCCCTATACACTAATCACATTTTATATGGATTTTGGCGAGGTGGAGTTCAAATAATCAACTTGTTTTTCTAATTTGATCATTTTCATGCAGTGATCCGTAAATCATTATTGTGAACTCGTCATAATTTAATGTATAATGAATAGTTTAAAAAGATGAAAACAATTTTTTTTCTACGGAACATGAAGGGTATCTTCCATCTTCTCTTGATAATCGTCTATATTCCACCAACTCCCATATCATTGATATATCTTTCTTTCGTAGACAGAATCAAATGAGATAAAGAAAACAAAGAAGACTCTGAAACTTCCCATGATTGGTTATGATTTTTTTTAAAGATTATCATCATGAGAAAAAAATAAATTATTTTGTCCTATAATCATTTGTGTGACTAAATCAAAATATATAAACGAGTAAACGGTGTGTTTTTCATCTAAACACAGCCGACAATGACAATGATATAGCTGTCCGCTTCTAAATTCAGAATACTCAAATCTTGAGAACGGACAAACTCTGTTAGAATTAATTACTCCTTCATGATCTTAAAGTATTGCGCAACTTATTTTTATTTTGAATTTACTCGAAAATAGCTTTCATTCCTTTCTCATATTTAAGAGTTTCAGAATTCAGAATTTGGTTTCAAGTTTCTTGAATTTAATTTTCATCCCTTGTGAAATAGTTACCAGGCTTTTAGGTATAGCTCTGCCATCTAAATGCACCTAGTTTAACAGGCTAGTCATGAAAATATGTTGTCATTTCCCTTGGGCAGCATGCCTTTAACCTTATATAGACCATAAAGTATATAGTTGGACAAAGGGAATAATTACTATACTCGAATAAAAAAGATAAAAAAGGAGAAATATTGCAATAAAACATGTTTTCCAATAAGAAAGACATCAAGCAATAGCGAGTTTCGTTACTAATATTGCAAATAAGGGCTAGTTTGGTCCGAGGGATAAAAGATAATTAATTTCGAGGTTAAATTTGAGATAAGTTTATCCCACGTTTAGTTGGGACAAAATCGCGGTATAACTAATCCCGGGATTGTTGTATTTTTTATACCTATGAAAGGTGGGATAACAATTTTAGAATACTTAATTCCAGAATAATTAATCTTGGAATAACTTGCTTCTCGCCCAAACTACCTGAAAGAAAAAGGCATGATATGAAATGAGTTGTACAAGCATTAATATTTACAGTCTAGGGATACCTATAAAATTTCGTACAATATATGTGGCTTCAGTTCTTTATTATATTGTATTTTGTTTCCTCATTTCCTTTCCAGATCCTCATTATGTAAGTAAAAAACTAAAGAGAAAAACAAAAGAAGATGATGAATTGTATTCAATATAATTACGGAATGAAATTGCACATATTAATTTAGTCTATGTATGGTGGAGCATGCAAAGTTGCTTATACGTGGTGACCCAATATGATATAGCACTCTGTCTGCACCACAAAGATACTAGTACTGCTACTATTACTACTACATGGAATTCATGCAATAATAAATTCGAAGGCCACTTCTTATAATTGACGGGACAACTTTAGGGTAAGCAAATGTGGCTGCCTTCTCTTCTTTCTTCATTCACTGGATAAATTTCCATTCTTATGGCTGCCCCCCAAACTGTTTTGGTACCTTTTCTGGTCAATGGACTACTTTGCAACAGCTGTANGAGTTAAATTTATAAGTAGTTCTAAGGATGTATGATATAACTTGACACAAATCGTACAGAGAAATAGAAATGCGTATATTCTAGACTATGAAAATGAGAGATAAAATAGTGAGCGAGAAGAATGAATGAGATAAAGTAAAACAGGCTCAAGAGGTTGATCTTTCAATATGAGAAGTAGACTTTTGTTACAATGTGTGAATGTCCTCATGCTTACAACAATCCCCCTCTTTATAGTAGAAGGATCCTACTTTATATACAATAAAAAATATATAGTGGAGAACCCATGATAAATTGTCTTTTCCCTAATTCCTGCCAGGATTC